AGCAGCTCGAAGAGCTCCCTCTGTTATGTGGCGACCTTGGTGAGCCACCTCTTTATGAAAAAATCTCACAAGTAATGTGGCAATGTGGCATGTTCGGGGAATGATCAGTGGATGTTTCTCTTCGTTTGACATCTCTGCAGACGAAATACGACCTCCAACTCTCAGCAAATCATTACTGTCTTTCACAGGGTTAAGTTTCTGAAGTGGGCTTTGTTTAGGAAGTGTCGCTCCTTTCTCAAGACATTTAAGCTCTTCTTTGAAAGCCTCTTGTTGGATGTCATGAATGATTAGAATTTCAGCCTTTTTAAGCTCCACCGTACTGGGAATTTTGGCAAAACGTTTCCCTGTTTCGCGTTCTGCATCCTCATGATTCTTCTTAAAGGAGACGGCGACACTCATGAGTCTGGCAATAGTGTTACAGAGTCTTGTCCAATCTGAGAATCGCTCAAATCGATGTGAACCTAGCTGACCTGATGAGGTGCGAGTAGACAGGACTGTCACAATGGGTCTAATTTCAACATCAGTTTCAGGCTCCACCAGATTGAAGTTGTTGGTTTCGGGGGGCTTTTCTGCAGAATCTGATTTCAAAAAACCGGGACCTGTAAACCAGTTGGTCTGTTGTAAGTACTCTGCTGCAGTAAACCGGGTGGCATGGTCTGCAGGGTTCTGATTTGTGGAAACATAATGCCACTGGTTTGGACAAGAAGATTGCCTTATTCTTGCCACTCTGTTGGACACATACACATAAAATCTTCTTGAAGAATTATGGATGTAGCCAAGTACAATCTTGCTGTCTGTAAAAAATGTAACTGCATCCACACTGATGTCCATTTCTTCTTGGATGACTTCGTACATCTGTACAGCCAACACAGCAGCACAAAGTTCAAGGCGTGGAATAGTGTGTGCAGGCTTTGGAGCCAGCTTGGACTTACCCATGACAAAGCCAACATGGTATGTTCCATCGACGTCAACCGCTCTCATGTAGGCTACAGCTCCTATCGCGAGTGTAGATGCATCTGAAAAAATGCATAACTCTTTCCTTAGCAAGAATGTGGGTGAAATGGGAAAATAGCTCCTCCTAATGTGAAGGTCCTCCAGGGCTTTCAGAGAGTTCTTCCATGTGTTCCATTCTGCTTCTTTCTCAGAAGGTAGTGGAGAATCCCACTCATCTTGATGTGATGAAAGTTCACGCAGAAGTGCTTTCCCTTGCATTATTATTGGGGCCACAAATCCCAAGGGGTCAAAGAGACTATTTACTGTAGACAGAATGCCTCTCTTGGTGAATGGTTTTGTTTCACTTGAAACCTGGAATGTGAAGCTGTCAGTTTCTAAATTCCAAGAAAGTCCGAGGCTGCGCTGGAGAGGGAGTGGATCTGCACCAAGCTCCAACTCCTTCAGATCACTTGCTCGATCTTCTTTAGGTAAGGCTTCCATTACCTGCCTGCTGTTCGATGCTACTTTGTGCAGCCTTATATTGGATTCTGCAAGCATCTGTTTCGTTCTTTTCAGGAGGTCAACTGCTTCGTCAGTTGTGGTAACTGAAATTAGTCCATCGTCAACATAAAACTGTCTCTCCACAAACTGTCTTGCATCAGAACCATGTTCATTCTCACCCTTTTTAGCAGCCCTTCTCATGCAGTATATAGCAACGGCAGGTGATGGTGTGTTTCCAAACATGTGGACCTTCATTCTGTACTCTGCAATGTTTTTGTCAAGGTTGTTGTCTTCATACCAGAGGAAACGGAGATAATCTCTATGATCCTCTCTGACAAGAAAACAGTAGAACATCTGCTGTATATCTGCTGTGACAGCTACCAGTTCTCTTCGAAACCTTAAAAGAACTCCTATCAGAGTGTTGTTCAAATCTGGCCCCTTCAGAAGTACATCATTCAAAGACACTCCTTCATATGCAGCACTTGAGTCAAACACCACCCTGATCTGTCCTGGTTTTTTTGGGTGGTAGACACCAAAAGTTGGAAGATACCAGTGTTCTTTACCTTCTTCTAAAGGCGGTGCTAGTTCAGCTTGATCTTTATCAAGCATTTTTTGGATGAACTCCTTGAAGTGTTCTTTCATTTCTGGCTTTTTCTCCAGAGTTTTTCTGAGTGAGCCAAGGCGCTTCATAGCATGTTTTTTCTCAGAATTCTGACTTTTTCTCAAAATTCTGACTTTAATCTCAGAATTCTGACTTTTTTCTCAGAATTCTGACTTTTTTCTCAGAATTCTGACTTTTTTCTCAGAATTCTGACTTTTTTCTCAGAATTCTGACTTTTTTCTCAGAATTCTGACTTTTTTCTCAGAATTCTGACTTTTTTCTCAGAATTCTGACTTTTTCTCAGAATTCTGACTTTAATCTCAGAATTCTGACTTTAATCTCAGAATTCTGACTTTAATCTCAGAATTCTGACTTTAATCTCAGAATTCTGACTTTTTTCTCAGAATTCTGACTTTTTTCTCAGAATTCTGACTTTTTTCTCAGAATTCTGACTTTAATCTCAGAATTCTGACTTTAATCTCAGAATTCTGACTTTTTTCTCAAAATTCTGACTTTTTTCTCAAAATTCTGACTTTAATCTCAGAATTCTGACTTTTTTTCTCAGAATTCTGACTTTAATCTCAGAATTCTGACTTTAATCTCAGAATTCTGACTTTAATCTCAGAATTCTGATTTTAATCTCAGAATTCTGACTTTTTTCTCAGAATTCTGACTTTTTTCTCAAAATTCTGACTTTTTTCTCAAAATTCTGACTTTTTTCTCAAAATTCTGACTTTTTTCTCAAAATTCTGACTTTTTTCTCAAAATTCTGACTTTTTTCTCAAAATTCTGACTTTAATCTCAGAATTCTGACCTTTTCTCAGAATTCTGACTTTTTCTCAGAATTCTGACTTTTTTCTCAAAATTCTGACTTTAATCTCAGAATTCTGACTTTAATCTCAGAATTCTGACTTTAATCTCAGAATTCTGACTTTTTTCTCAGAATTCTGACTTTTTTCTCAGAATTCTGACTTTTTTCTCAGAATTCTGACTTTTTCTCAGAATTCTGACTTTAATCTCAGAATTCTGACTTTTTTCTCAGAATTCTGACTTTAATCTCAGAATTCTGACTTTAATCTCAGAATTCTGACTTTAATCTCAGAATTCTGACTTTTTTCTCAAAATTCTGACTTTTTTCTCAAAATTCTGACTTTTTTCTCAAAATTCTGACTTTTTTCTCAAAATTCTGACTTTTTTCTCAAAATTCTGACTTTAATCTCAGAATTCTGACTTTTTTTCTCAGAATTCTGACTTTAATCTCAGAATTCTGACTTTAATCTCAGAATTCTGACTTTTTTCTCAAAATTCTGACTTTTTTCTCAAAATTCTGACTTTAATCTCAGAATTCTGACTTTTTTCTCAGAATTCTGACTTTTTTCTCAGAATTCTGACTTTAATCTCAGAATTCTGAGCCATGCAGTGGGGGGAAAAATCCCAATTTTTCAAAAATAACAGCATTACAATACTCGATAAATCATATTCAATTGAATAGTTTCAGCCCTAGAAACAGAACTAAAGAGAGAACTAAAATTTTTTTTTCGTTTTCATGCATGGCTATGCAACCAAATTCAAATCCATCATTATACGAAGGCCAGATTGTTCGGCCGACCATGTCATAGCGAGGCACCATGGTCTGTTCGAATTCAAAGACAAATGCAATTTCCACCCGGTTGGAAGGACGGTTCCTCAGTATCCTCCATATCCCATGATTCATTGGGAGTCCTAGCAAGCCGACTGCTCCGTGCTCAGAGGAAAAAGGGTAATGGTTTCGAACAGTGGTAAGTATTGTAAGTACAGCGTAATACAATACAAGTATGCGAATAGTTTTGTCTGAAATTAATGAAAATAGTTGTTTTAAATGGTTATTTAAAAAAAAAAGAAAATTAAAAACAATCGACTGGACTTTGTTTCCAAGTTTGAAGACGCTTAGCTTCCCATCCAGAAAGCTTTTTCAATTTCAATTTTGAAACCTGGTTTCGTGGTACCGTCTGAGCTGTAGCTGCATGCAGCGACTGAAAAAAAATATCACACAGTGTATGCCCGGCTTTACAGAGGAATCTTATGAGGGAAAATTATTTTTTTCTAATTGCATTTATTAGTCAAGAAGTGCAGCTGTGTTTTGAAAGTGAAAAAGCATTTCTACAAAAATGAAAAACACATTTGCTTACCTTAAAAGTCTTAAAAGTATTCACTTTAACTGACATTTATAAAGGTAAAAACATGCATATGCATTTATTGTAAGTAATCTTACAATAAAAGCCTTAAAAAGGTTTAGAAACCATATTTTCCAGTAGCTTGCAGAAGTATTTACTTTGCTTACATGGTTGTACTTGATCTGTAAACATCAATGTGACGTATTACGATTTCATCTGATTGAGCAACAGCAAGTGAACCAGAAGCATTGGACCCTGGAAATCATTTTCTTTAACTGGAAAAATTGTGTTATTTCTCAAACTGTTGCAGTTTGAAGGAAAATTTCCGTCCAGTTACACAATCTCCATTAGTCACTGGAAGCCAAATATGAAAAGAGCTGCTAGATGCAGGACTGACTTACATAATCCGGAGATATGGATAGTTTTTTTTTTATCAGTCTTGTCTGTAGTGATCTCAGAGTTGCCTTTAGAGAGGGGAGGGGGGCTTCATGTGACACTGCATTTTGCTGATGGGTCCTCTATGCTGCAACCAACGAACTCGTGGGAGGAAATGACACAATTCCTGTTGGAGCTGAGTTGGGGGTGTGAATGGGAGCCTTCTTAATGCTAACCAGATGTCGGTTTTACAAACAGACACATTTAAAGGACAGAAAACAATGCCGTTTATTGGAGATGACTGAGCGCGAGCAGACAGACGCACGCGGGCGGGCGGCTCTTTTAATCCTCAATCGAAATGCCGCGCGGCCGCCTCCCTCCTCGTCATCACCCCGGTGGTCTCAGCTACATAATGTGACATCATGGAGTCTACTTACCGCGGCGCTGCGGCTCGCTGTGGCCAATGAAGGGCTTGAATGTCTTAAGGATGTCAGCGTTTCTCACTCTGCCGGAGTTCCCACCGGCAGAGTAGAAATAATCCAGCAGCGACTCTTCGCTCACATCACCCATCCTGGAGACCCCGGCACTTTCTATCCCCTTTTCCGCGGCTATATTGGCCTTTTTTCAGAGCTTTTTCCACTCTGCCATACCGTTAGGATAATTAGCTGTACTACATGTCTAAACTTTACTCCACCCAGAGGAGCTGACCGCAGCTGCGCCTCCTTCTGTTTAACCCTTTAAAGACACCTCCCTCCCATGGATGACTCCCCCACTGTATGGCGTCTAATGAACTCCCCAAAATGAGTCTGAACAATTATGCGGAAGAGGAGTATGGCTACTGTGAACAAAAATGTGAAAGGTTAACTGATTTTTTTTTTTTTTTTTTGTAAGGTTGATATAAGAAAAAGTGAGAATTGTGACTTTAATCTCAGAATTCTGACTGAAATCTTTGAATTCTGACTTAAATCTCAGAATTCTGAGATTAAAGTCAGAATTCTGTGGAAAAATATTTTAAAAAGTTAACTGATTTTTACGGAGCCCCTCTGATGACATGGTCAAAAAAAATGTTTAATTGTGGCCACAAAGTAGTATTTCGCGGCCACGCAATAAGTATAACGTGCGCACGAAATACTACTTCGTGGCCACGCAATAAGTTTAACGTGCGCACGAAATACTTATTAATAATATCAATAAATCCGCCCCTGTTTTCAGGCTTATGTTAACTGTAATGACTTATCTTGGACAGGCTGCTATGTAAACGGGCCTTTAGTCCTTCGTTTAGCTATGCTGCGGTTGTTTACACTACGCCTTTTCCACCTAAAATAGCGTCTTAGCAACAAATGTCACGTGACTGGCGGAGACCGACTGGGTAAGCAAATCGAGCGCACCTTAGACCTTAGAGAAGGCGCGCTCGATTTGCTTACCCAGTTGTCCAGGAATGATATTAATATTATTAATAAGTATTTCGTGCGCACGTTAAACTTATTGCGTGGCCACGAAGTAGTATTTCGTGCGCACGAAATACTACTTCGTGGCCACAATTAAAAATTTTTTTTGACCATGTCATCAGAGGGGCTCCCTAGATTTTCATTTTACTTGAGGTTAATATAAAAAAGGTCAGAATTGTGACTTTAATCTCAGAATTCTGAGATTAAAGTTAGACTTTTGTGATTCTTTTTTAAATAAAGTGAACCGATTTTTTTTTTTAGTTTAATAAGGGCAAAAAAGTCAGAATTCCAACTTTAATCTCAGAATTCTGACTTTTTCCCACAGAATTCTTACTTTAATCTCATAATTCAGATTTAAATCTTGTAATTCTGATTCAGAATTATGAGATTAAAGTCAGACTTCTGTAGAAAAAATATTTTAAAAAGTTAACTGATTTTTTTTATTTTAGTTGAGGTTAATATAAAAAAGTCTGACTTTAATCTCAGAATTCTGACTGAAAACTTTGAATTCTGACTTTAATCTCAGAATTCTGACTGAAAACTTTGAATTCTGACTTTAATCTCAGAATTTTGAGATTAAAGTCAGAATTTTGTGATTTTTTAAATAAAGTGAACAGATTTTTTATTATATTTGAGTTTAATAAGGGAAAAAAGTCAGAATGCTGACTTTAATCTCATAATTCAGATTTAAATCTTGTAATTCTGATTCAGAATTATGAGATTAAAGTCAGAATTCTGTAGAAAAAATATATTAAAAAGTTAACTGATTTTTTCATTTTAGTTGAGGTTAATATAAAAAGTCAGAGTTATGACTTTAATCTCATAATTCTGAGTGGAATCTTTGAATTCTGACTTTTTTCCACAGAAGTCTGACTAATCTCATGATTCAGATTAAAGTCAGAATTCTGACTGGAATCTTTGAATTCTGACTTTAATCTCGGAATTATGAGATTAAAGTCAGAATTTTGTGATTTTTAAAAAATAAAGTGAACTGATTTTTTATTATATTTGAGTTTAATAAGTGAAAAAAAGTCAGAATGCTGACTTTAATCTCAGAATTCTTAATTTTTTTCCACAGAAGTCTGACTAATCTCATGATTCAGATTAAAGTCAGAATTCTGTGGAAAAAATATTTTTAAACCTTAACTGATATTTTATTTTATTTGAGTTTGACCCTTTAAAGACACCTCCCTTCCATGGATGACTCCCCCACCGTATGACGGAATTATAATGAACTCCCCAAAATGTGTCTGAACAATTATGCGGAAGAGGAGTATGGCTACTGTAAAGAAAAAATGTAAAATATTAACTGATTTTTTATCTTTTTTGAGGTTGATATAATAAAAAGTCAGAATTGTGACTTTAAAGGGATAGTTCGGTATTTTTGACATGAATCTGTATGGCATCCCCATCACCAGTGGCATGCAATCACACTGACTTACCCCTGGCAGCGTCCTGTGAGCAGAGTTATCGTCCAGTTTTGGTCAAGCCGAAAGTAGTCCGGCAGGTTTTTAGGACCAGCGAAATAAAACTTTTCTCTTCCCAAAACATTATGTGTTCAAAAGAGTGATATTTTTGCATCCCAAAAACATTGTAGTGGAAAAAGTCACACGTCGTTATCAATTGGTCCTATTTTCTCTCTGTTCGTATCAGTGCGCGCCGTCATTCAGACAGCGAGCTCAACAACAGCCAGATGCATGTCTCGGTCCGCCCAGCTAGGAGCTAGGCGGAGGGAGACATGCATCTGGCTGTTGTTGAGCTCGCTGTCTGAATGACGGCGCGCACTGATACGAACAATTGATAACGACGTGTGACTTTTTCCACTACAACGTTTTTGGGATGCAAAAATATCACTCTTTTGAACACATAATGTTTTGGGAAGAGAAAAGTTTTATTTCGCTGGTCCTAAAAACCTGCCGGACTACTTTCGGCTTGACCAAAACTGGACGATAACTCTGCTCACAGGACGCTGCCAGGGGTAAGTCAGTGTGATTGCATGCCACTGGTGATGGGGATGCCATACAGATTCATGTCAAAAATACCGAACTATCCCTTTAATCTCAGAATTCTTTAATCTCAGAATTCTGAGATTAAAGTCAGAATTAATAGTTAATAAGGGGAAAAAAGGCAGAATTGTTAATCTAATCTCAGAATTCTGACTTTTTCCCACAGAATTCTGACTTTAATCTCATAATTCAGATTTAAATCTTGTAATTCTGATTCAGAATTCTGAGATTAAAGTCAGAATTCTGTGGAAAAAATCAGAATTTTGTGATGTTTTTAAAATAAAGTTAACTGATTTTTGTATTTTATTTGAGGTAAATTAGGGAAAAAAGTCAGAATGCTGACTTTAATCTAAGAATTCTGACTTTTTTCCATAGAATTCTGACTTTAATCTCATAATTCAGATTTAAATCTTGTAATTCTGATTCAGAATTCTGAGATTAAAGTCAGAATTCTGTGGAAAAAATCAGAATTTTGTGATGTTTTTAAAATAAAGTTAAATGATTTTTGTATTTTTTTTTGAGTTTAATTAGGGAAAAAAGTCAGAATGCTGACTTTAATCTAAGAATTCTGACTTTTTTCCATAGAATTCTGACTTTTGAGATGAATTTTGAGATTAAAGTCAGAATTCTGTGGAAAAAATATTTTTAAAAGTTAACTGATATTTTATTTGAGGTTGATATACGAAAAAGTCAGAATTGTGAATTTAATTAAAAGATTAACTGATTTTTTTTTTTTTTTTTTGAGGTTGATATAAAAAGTCAGAATTGTGACTTTAATCTCAGAATTCTGACTGAACTCTTTGAATTCTGACTTTAATCTCCGAATTCTGAGATTAAAGTCAGAATTAATAGTTAATAAGGGAAAAAAAGGCAGAATTGTTAATCTAATATCAGAATTCTGACTTTTTTCCACAGAATTCTAAATTTAATCTCATAATTCAGATTTAAATCTTGTAATTCTGATTTGGAATTCTATGATTAAGGTCAGAAGTCTGTGAAAAAAATGTTTTAAAAAGTTAACAGATTTTTTATTTTATTTGAGTTTAATGTGGGGGAGAAAAGTATCAATCTCAAAAATTCTCACAAAGTCAGAATTCTGGAATAAAAGTCAGAATTCTGACTTTTTATCCTACATTAAACTCAAATAAATAAAACAAAAATCTAAGGTATACCGCCTAATGCATATGTTTATGATTGATTTATAGTAGATTTCAGTCAATCTAAAGTTTAAAATGTAGGTTAAAATTAAAACGCTTTGATGTGGCTCCTGGGATTAAAGGCGCCATCAACCAAGATAACTCCATAGTTTATGTTAAAATGTGTGTTTTGGCATTATAGTTCTGCTAAAACCTGCTGAAATATCTGGAGCAGAGGTCTACAACGGTTACAATTCAAAGAGCTATTTCTATATTCTGTTCAGCTAATAAAACTTGTGTAGAGCCACAGAAATTATGTGAAAAATATAAGTTATAGTTCATAAATAAATATACAATTTTTGTCAGTTTTTTGTAGTAATTGGCAACTATATCAGGAAATCAATATTTTTTTCAGTGCTATGTATGAAAAAAAGCCAATTTTTCAGAAATGCAGTGCTAGAATTGCTCTAAAAATAAGGAAAATAAGGTGCTCTGGTAAATAAGACACTCTCCCAATGGAAGAAAACAGATAATATGAACTTGAAATAAGATAATGGAGTTATTTTTATTACAAATTAAAGATGAATCATGTTATTTAAATTATATATTGTCTTGACCTGCTTATACCAAGGGGAGAAAGAATCCTTGTTTTAAGAAATATTAACTTAGATTCCTTTGTTTACTGTGTTTCTTATAGATTTCCAGAGCAGCCTTTTGCATATGTACGTTTTTATTTAGACGTGTTATTTTATTTACATAAACTGTAGTTAGGATAGATTTTATAAGTTTGTTAAAGAAATTATATGGAAATGTGTTTCTTTTACCCCTACTTGTTCCTTTGTAATAATGTTATTTATTTGTACTTCATTTTATTACTTTGAAATACCAGAAGTTGCACATAACTCTTCATCTTTTTACATAATTTTAAGCATTAAACCAGATGTTACAAGCCCACAGTACTTGAGTAGCCATCTTACTAACTTTTTTTACTTTTGTTTGAGTCATTTCTTTGATGACTTTCTACTTTTACTTAAGGAAAAAAATGTTACTCTTACTTAGGTAAAATTATTGGGGTACTCTACACACCTTTATTAATTTCCTGCATTTTTA